TTTAAAGAACATACTTCATATTTTTAGTTCATAGTAGCCCATTGTACAGTACAAAGTGGATGCCCAGTAAATGCTCACTGAGGGCAGCAGCCCACTTTCTTTTACTCTCAAACTGTGGTTTGCAACCTCAGGACATATTTGCAGTCTCAAATGAGCTGCTATTAAGGAAATAACACACAAATGTACAGTTAATGCTGGGCAGTGCAGTACATTATTAGGTGCTGAATGGTAAATGCTACCAAGAGGGAAGGGCTACTGAGATATGAAATTATTTTTGGATCCCTTCAAGGAACAGTTGAACTTGACCTTTAAGTGGTCTTTGAAGATTGGGTGGGGTTTAGAAAGACTTATATATGGAACCATTAAAGTCTTCTTGGAAGCACTAATTATTTGTCATTGACACCTGTCATTGCATCATATCTATCTGTTAAAGAAGGAAAATGCTCACTAGTGCATTTCACTACTATCTTTGCAGTGAAGATTCACTGCAAACAAAATGTGTAGATTTGCTTAGTCCATCCCATTTCCATCATGTCACTGGTGTAAAATTGGTACATCATTTACTGTAATTTACAGTCATTCATGGCATAATGACATTTTGGTCATCAGTGGGCCACATATATGATGGTGGTCCCATAAGATTATAATACCGTATTTTCACTTTACCTTTTCTGTTTAGACATGTTTAGATACACAAATACTAACCTTTGTGTTATACTCGCCTACAGTCTCAGTACAGTAACATTCCGGACAGGTTTATAGCCTGGGAGCAATAAGCTGTGCCATAGAGCCTATGTGTGTAGTAGGCTACACCATCTCGGTTTGTGTAAGTACACTTTCTATTTGCATAAAAAGAAAATCACCTACTGACTCATTTCCCAGAAAGTATCCCTGTTAAGTGAGGCATGCCTGTATTTGTATGTTTAAGGGTATATGGTGTTTACAGTATTGCACTATAAGCTTTCTCAGTTGTAGGCATGGGTTTGGTCTTACACTTTAAAAAAAAAAAGGATCTATGTACACTTTGTGTCCCTCAAGTGTGTTTTGTGAAATGATCACTCTTTTATGTCTCTCCTTTCACTGAGTAGTCTAAATGGCATTTCTGTCTCTGGTTGAGCCTAGACTATGGCTCAACTTGATGGTCTTTTAGGCAAAGTTCTTTTTTTGCTACTTATTATTTTAACAGGAATATTTAAAGCATATTGCCCCTAAAATGACTCTGCTATATTGTTTTGAATAAACTATTTATGTGTTTTTTTGTTACTTCTAGTTATGAATCCAAAGAACAGACTTTCAGACTAAAATTTTTTAAGCAGTCACTAAAGATTATAGGGAAGAGATACTTATAATGCAGGTTTTCCGACTGGACTATTTCTGTGGTGCCAGAGCCTTTTTATAGGCGTAGGTATTCAAAACAGTCTGTTAATTATTTTATGATAGAGTTTTACTTTAGTTTTTCCCTGTTGAAACATTTTTTTCCAAATTTTAATGTATTGAAAAATATGAAAGTGTTTTGAAATATAGTAAATTTTATTGTATATATTTGTGTCTCATTATATATTCATATCCTGCCTTGAGGGAACCTTTTCCAGAATACATTATTATAAGGAATCATAACTTACAGTTGAGTCAAAAATAAGTTCATTTCTTTATACCTTCTTTTTTTTTTTTTTCCTGAGACGGAGTCTCCCTGTGTCGCCCCCGTCCGGGCTGGAGTGCAGTAGCACGATCTCTGCTCACTGCAAGCTCCGCCTCCCGGGTTCACGCCATTCTCCTGCCTCAGCCTCCGGAGTAGCTGGGACTACAGGCGTCCACCACCTCGCCCGGCTAATTTTTTATATTTTTAGTAGAGATGGGGTTTCACCATGTCAGCCAGGATGGTCTCGATGTCCTGACCTCGTGATCCACCCGCCTCGGCCTCTCAAAGTGCTGGGATTACAGGTGTGAGCCACCGTGCCCGATCGTATACCTTCTTTGTACTAAGTCTTGAAGGTTCTTTAGTCAAGATCATCTAAAGCTATGAGGGCATTTTTCTATTCAAGGGATATCAAACTTTTTTTTCCCTAAAGGAAGTTTTTGAGTTTTTAAAGGAAATTTTTTGCAGTTTTGAACATATTGCTGGAACTTCATGGCTATGTATTTTCAGTTTTAGCAGCTTCAGAGAGTTTCTATTTTCTTCCTCGGGATTTTCGTGAATTTTTTTCATATTTTTAAAAAATGATATGTGGGATCAGATCTCTTTTACAGGATGCATCTTTGCTTTCGATTTTTGGTTGTGCATTAGTTATTTATTCCTTTGTAAAAAGTTACCCTAAAATTTAATGGCTTAAACCAATATTTATGATCTCACTGTTTCTTTGAGTCAGGAATCAGGCATGGCTTACTGGGCTCCTCTCCCTCAAGGTTTCTCACAAGGTTGCAGTGAAAGTATCAGTTGGGAGTGTGGTTTCAAGGCACAGCTGGGGAGAGTCTACTTCTTTTTGTTGTTTTTGTTTTGTTTTGAGGCAGGGTCTGACCCTGTTGCCCTTTTGCCCAGACTAGAGTGCAGGGGTGCCATCTACACTCACTGCAGTCTCCACCTCCTGAGTTCAAGCTATCCTCCCACCTCAGCCTCTCGAATAGATGGGATTACAGGCACATGTCACCACACTCAGCTAAGTTTTATATTTTTAGTAGAGATGGGGTTTTGCTATGTTGGCCAGGCTGGTCTTTAACAGGTGATCCCACCTGGTTCGGCCTCCCAAAGTGCTGGGATTACAGGCATGAGCCACCACGCTTGGCTGAGGATCTACCTCTAAGCTTGCTCTTGGTAGGATTGGTAAGATGGTTCTTGGTAGGATTCAGCTCCTCATGGACTGTTGAACTGCAGGCCTCACTTCTTCACTAGCTGTTGTCTGGAGGCCTCCCTCAGTTATTTGTCATGTGGCCCTTCCATATGGCGGGTCACTACATGACAGCTGGTTTCCATGAGAGGGAAAAAGATGGAAGCCAGAGTTACTTGATAATCTAATCTCAGAATTGACATTTCATTGCTTTTGCTAAATTCTTTTCATTAAAAGTGAGTCAGTAGGTCCAGCCCACATTCAAAGGGAGGGGATTCCGTAATGGAGGCATGAGAATCAGGAGGTGGGGTTTATTGGGTCCATCTTAGAGGCAGCCTGCCAAATGTCCTGAAAGGTTTTACTTGGTTCATGTTTGCTAGGTTCTTTAATCTCAAAAATTTCTCATTACACCTCCCTTTCTCCTCTGCACCTGCCATGTGAGCAGAGAGATACATAAGAGTACATATACTCTGTTACATGATGGTTCTACTTATTTTCCTATACCTGTAACCAACTTCCAGTGATAACCCTAAGATTCAGATGTGGATATATCTTCTTTTATCAGAAAGTGAGCAGAGCACTCAATGAATGTTGAAAGAATGAATACATTTGTGAATGAGGAATTTGCGGTTATTTTAAATAGTTCTGCCTAGAAAGTTATACAAAGGAAGTAATTTTGAGCTGCATCTTATCAAAGGGCAAGTAAAGTATTTTGCAGGCAGATGTAATAACAAACTCAGTCTCAAGAAGTTATGAAACAGCTTGGTATGTTCCAGAATGGTGCGAAGTTCAGTAAGAATGGGATGAAGAATCTTTTATAGAGGAGCATGGGAAATAGTGGTGGAGAAGCAGGTTGGGGCTAGATTGTTTCTGTGCTAAAGACTTGGGACCTAACTGTGAGCTAGTGGAGCACTTTAAGCAGGGGAGAGGGACTTTACTATGTTAGTGTTTTATGAAGACAGACTCTGTAGCTTTGCTGAAAAAAGGACTAGTGGGGAGAATCTAAAGACCATCCTGATTATGAAAGATTCTGAGGACTGAATTAAGCAATTGGCAGTAGTTTTGAAGAAGATTGTAGAGCCACTTGGCCTTTTTCTGGACTAGGTATGTTGGAGACTGCCAGCTGTCCCCTAATGTATTCTTTCTGTTTTTCTATATGAGTGGTTCTTTTTCTCACAGAATAAGGATTATATTACTACTCTCCCTTATGTAACACTGTGAATACATTTTGGTCAGTGGGATGTGAGCAAAAGGATCTGTGACTTCCCAGGTCACGTGCTTAAAAAAAGGAGATGTACTTTCAGATTTTTCTTTTCCTACTTCATACTGGCTTGAGTGTAGACCTGGTATTAGGCTGTAGGTATAGCCTGAGGCTAGTAGACAAAAAAAATGGAAGGATCCTGAATCCCTAAGGGCTTTGTGGAACAGAACCTTCAGCTCCTACTTTCAACAATAACCAAACTTGATCTGGGTTATGCCATTATTTGGGGTTTTTTATTACAGAGAGTCAAATCTGATTCCCAAATCATTATAGGTGGGGTAAGATACAGGATTATGTAGGAATAAAAAAAACCTGAGATGTCTAGTTTGGAGGACCTAATGAATTGTGATCTGATTAACTGGCATAGAGCTTCAGCGGGAAAATGATATGATTTCCCTTTTGGATATACTAATTCTGAGATGGCTTCTATTGTTTTCTGTATTCCTAATTTGTACAGGCAATGAGCCCAACTTTGATTTTACATGATTCATTGCCCGCTTTGTTCCATGTGAAACATCTACAATCAAATCTCTACTAGTAATCCAAGTCCCTTCTACCCCCTTAATTTTCTTAACTGTAACATTTCTGGCTGTGAGTCTCCTCACTATCTATATTCCCTGTATCTTCTTTGAAGACGGAACATGTTGTTGAAGAGCTGAGTTTATTGACTCCTTCTGTGCCTTTCTTCTGTCATTGGAGAGCACCTCTGAATATATCATTTCTGTCATTACCATGGCAACAGATTATTAGAATTACTTAATCAATCTGGCTTATCTCCTGATTTTTCTTGTAATGTTTTTGGCTTACTGTATTTCTGTCATATTACTGTTTTTGAAATTTATTTGTAAAGAAGATTTTTGTGACTGGAGGCACTTACATATCTGACTATATGTGTCATGTGTTTTCATACATTTTAGCCTAAAGCACCAAAGGGAAAAAGTGCAGGACGGGAAAAAAAAGTCATCCATCCATATAGTAGAAAAGCAGCTCAAATTACGAGAGAGGCCCACAAACAAGAAAAAAAGGAAAAGTAAGTATCTTTTCATCATTTGTATTATTCATTGTTAAAAAGCCCCTTTATACATTTATCTTTCAAACATGTGTCCTTTCGCAATATTGTCTCCCTTTCATAAGTATTTATTGAATGTGTTCTGTATTCAGAGGGTAAAACTGAACAAGGACTCTACTCTTTTAGAGCTTACCTAAAACAGAGAAGTAATTTACATAGCAGTAGGTGATGAGTGCCATGTAAAATTTAAAAAGTTATGAGATGGAGAGTGAGGGAGAAGTTCTGTTTTACATGGGATAGTCATGGAAGCCTTCTCTGAAGAAGTTATGTTTGAACAGAGTTGAAAAATGTGAGGTCTATATATAAGGCATATAGGTTAAAGTGTCCATGAAACATATAAGAGGAGGTATGGAATGGATAGTTAGATATGTTTAGTCTAGTATTCAGAGAACAGGTTAGGGGTATTGACACAAATGTGGTAGCGATCAGCATCCATGTGGGATTTCAAGCCATGAGATTGGGTAAGATCAGTTCACCTAAGGAGTAACTGTTGATAGGGAAGAGAAGTGAGCCAATTACTGAGTCCAGTGGCGTTCTACCGTTTAGAGCTTAGGAAAAGAAGGAGCATTCCACAAGTGAGACTGAGAAGGAAGAGAAAGAAGGCTGTTTCTGAGATTCCTTAAAATGAAGTGAAGTTCAAATAAAAATCATCATTTTGACTATTTTAGAATAGCCTTGCCATTTTCATGAATGTTAGATACATTTGCATACTAGATAATGGAAACCAGTATATTTTTAAATGTTGATTCTTTGCTTAAGATAAGCCTTATATAGTAAAGGTTAGCTGTTTCACAGTGATTTGACTAGAAGGAATTAAGTGTTATGATAGCAGAGTCAAATTTTCTTTATTTTCTGGGGGGTAGTTTTTTTGTTGTTGTTGTTTAACAAATATTTACTATGATGATAGCAGTTTTGCTTTAGCACAGTAGTTTTCAAACTTCAGCTATTTGTGCATCACTTTTATGATTTTTACTGTATCTTTTTAACATGATTTAGTAGTACTGTGATTTTACAGTTTCTGCAGTCATATATATCAGTATTTTGCAAACTTAAGTACATGAAATACATCTGTAGAGCTTATTAAAACTGTTTGTTCCAATCCCTAGAACTTGCTATTCTGAAGGTTTGAGTTTCTGGCTTAAGAGTTTCCATTTCCGACAAGTCTCCAGGTAATGCTGGTGCTGTTGCTGCTGGTTTAGGGACCACACTGTGAGAATCACTGACCTATACTATTATTTATTTTCCCTTAAATACCATTTTTTTTAAAAAGGAGATTTTTTTTTCTCTCTTAAAGTCAAGTAGGTACTATTACCTGCTGTAAATGGTCTGAGTCTGAGACATGACTTTTGTATATGTTTGGTGAAAAGATCTGGTGAAGGTTGGAAGACTGGTAAAATAAACCCACACTTTTGTCCTTAATGTAAAGTGAAAGGATCAAAATAAAATGGAGTGGGGGGAAGTAACTTGCTTACCATTTTATTAAAGATTGTTTAATTCTGTGTCTATGAACTGCTTACCTTACATACAGTACCAGTGATATAATGTGCAATATTTTAGCAAGTAACTGCTTTAGAATATGATTAAGTACTTGGTTCACTGTCATTGTGACCGTGAGCCTAGAATGTTTGTATGTTGTCAAGTATATTCAGCATGTTGTGTATTGATTTACAGAATTAGCATTATAGAAAAATTGTGGAAGAATAAAACAGAACAACATGCTCATCTGATATATATATTGTCCTAAGAAAATTCTGTTTATTGGCCAAGACTTTTCTTTTAGTAATGCAAAGTAGAAAAACATCAGTTAATTTTTCTGCGTTGACAGTGTTCTAAACAGATCGGATTTTTTCCCTTTTTAAAATTTATTTTCAAAAAGTCACTCTCTTAATAGTGAGTGACTCTAGAACCAAATACACAATTTTAATAGTACTTAACATTATTCATGTTATGAAATCATAGGCTTAGGCCACCATAAATGTCAGTTTTTTGAGTAGCAGCATCAGTAACCACGAGTGGGAATGTGGTCACAAAAGGCATGTTGAAATGCTGTTGATTCCCTGTCCCATTTCAAAAGATGATTGGTGACAAGATACCCAGATGGTCGGGACAACTTTAAGCAAGGTGATTGAAGAAGGTACCAACAAGACAACTTGAAGTTGGGTACCTGTGGCTTCTTAGAAATGAATAGCAGTTACCAGATGTTGTTTTAGTAACTGTGCTGCGTAAGAAATTCTGCTACAATTTTGCAGCTTAAAACAAACAACAGTTTCTGGATTAGGTAGGAATCCCATTGCCACTTAACTGGATGTTTCTGACTCAGCGTCTTTCACAAGGCTGCAGCTAAGCTGTTGTCTGGGACTGCATTCATCTCAGAGCCTGCTAGGGAGAAGTTCTGCTTCCAAGCTTCCTCACATGGCTGTTGGCAGACCTCAGAAAAGATACTGTAGGAGTGGATAACAATGCTAGAGTAAAAGTTCAAGCATATTCTTATCTTCAACGTTTGAAAAGCTCTGATTTAGGACTGTATGACAGGAACTAGGATGGTTTGCAGACTAGCACATTCCGAACAATAAACAATTTACAAGCAGCAAGTGGCTCTTTGATATGATGTGATTTTTGTTTTATGATTTTTCAGTATAGCAACATTTTGGCAAAAAATTCTAGATAGCAAATGAAAATGACTCCTAATGAAAGATTAACAAAGGAAACTAAGCATGATGGGTAAGAATCTCAGAAACAACTACCTTTGAGAATTAATCTTACTGAGTCTCTTGAAAAATCATGTTTACACATTGTCTTAAGAATTTTTTCATATTTACATGCAAGTATCATTTTAAATCTCAAATCTCTACTTTTCTTCATTGCAACTGATACCACTGTAAGTTCAGGTTCCCACTGAGTCCATTCAGAATTATTGCAACTTGACTTCTAACTAGATTCTTCCCTCCAGCCTTATTTAAAAGCAGCAAATTCCTCTCAGAAGCATTCTCTAACTTTTTATGAAGTGTTCTTTGTTTTTTAAAATCGACTTTGAGGTATAATTCATATATAATAAAGCAAACACATTTTAAGTGTAGTTTTTGGGTTTTGACAATTGTATACATTGGCGTAGCCACCCTGATCAGTATATAGTACAATTTCATCTTCCTAGAAAATTCCCTTGTGCATCTTCCCAGTCAGTCCTCACCCTCTACCTCTAGCCTCAGACAGCCACTAATTTGCTCTAGGTGAGATTTATCTTTCTAATGTTTAGTATAAATGGAATCACACTGTATGTGGTCTTTTGTGCCAGTGTCTTTCACATAGCATAATGTTTGTGATACTTATCCATGTCATTGTATGTATTAGTTGTTCTTTCCTTTTATTGGGAATATTATTCCATCCCCAGGCAATTTATTTATATCCATTCACTGGATATGCAACTTGTTCATCCATTCACTGTCTATGTTCGTTTGGATATATTTTAGATTTCGGCTATTATCAGGAGTCTGCAAGCTAAGGCATTAGCCACCTGTTACTATGAAAAGTTTTGTTGGAAAAATCAATGCTGGTTCTTTTTGTGTTTTCTATAGCTGCGTTCATGCTGTGGTGGCAGAGCTGAGTAATTGTGACAGGTACATGGCCCCCAAAGCCTAAAATGTGACTACTTGACCGTTGAAGAAAATATTTGTCAACCTCTGCTATTAGGAATAAAGTTCATTCCTGTAGAACATTCATGTACAGGTGTTTGTCTGTACATATGTTTTCATTTTTCTTTTACTTCCTAGAACTATAGTTGTTGGGTAGATGTTTGAGTTTATAAGAAATTCAGTTTGTAAGACGTTTGGTTAACATACTTAAGATGTTTGCTTAAGTATATGAGAAATTGGGTTTATAAGAATTGCTGGATCATATGGTGTATTTTTAAGTATATACGAAATTACTTTTCTCAAAGTGATAGTACCATTTTACATTTTCACCACCGGAGTATGAGTTCTATTTGCTATATATCCTCTCTAACATGTTATATTGCAGGGTTTTTTTGTTTTGTTTTTATTGTTGTTCTCTCTTTAATTTTAAGCAATCTAGTAGATGTGCAGTGGTATTTCAGTGTGGTTTTAATTTTCATTTCTTGATGACTAATGATGGTGAGCATCATTTTAGGTTCTTTTTGGTCATTTGTGTTTTCTTGATGGAGAATCTGTGCAAATCTTTTGCCTTTTTGGTACTGGGTTATCTGTTAAGTAGTAAGGACTGTTTATATATTCTAGATACAAGTCCTTTGTTATTTGTGTTATGGATATTTTCTCCTATTCTGTAACTTACAAATTTTATATAGAGAAGGTTTTGGCCTGGTATTGTGGCTTATCCTTGTAATCCTAGTGATTTGAGAGGCCAAGGTGGGAGGATTGCTTGAGGCCAGGAATTTGAGACGAGCCTGGGTGACATAGTGAGACTCTGTCTCTACAAAAATAAAAGTAAAAAAAAGAAGAAATTAGCCAAGCATGATGGTGTATAACAATAGTCCTAACTACTTGGGAGGCTGAGGCAGGATGATTGCTTGAGCCCAGGAGTTTGAGGCTGCGGTGAACAATGATAGTGCTACTGCCCGAGCTACACAGTGAGGCCCTGTCTCTAAAAATAAGAAGAAGAACAAAAGATTTCATTTTATTTCTCCAGTTTTCTAGTTGAGTAAAATGGGAGGATAAATCTGGTTTGCTTACTTCTTTGTGGATAAAAGCCATGTGTACTTCCTGCTTTATACTAAGCCTTCTCTCATGGCTAACATTTTTCTTTTACCATTCCTGTAGTCCCTATCCTTTTTATTTATTTTTATTTTTATTTATTTGTTTATTTTTTAATCCTGAAAAACTTCTCTGCACGTTCAGGTCTCAGCTTAAAGTTTACTTCTCTGGAAAACCTTCCCAAATCCTAAAACATGTGGTAGGTGCTTTTTAAATATGCTTTTATAGCTCTGTATGCTTCTCTGTGTTTTTATTGCCCTTAGATTGTAAGGTTTTTTAGGACAGGGACAGTGGATTTTTTGTTCATGGCTGTATCCCTTGGGGCTATCAGAAACTAAAGTCTGGCAAAGACTTGGTATCCAGAGGTCTGCTGAATGAATAAGTCTTTAGAATATCAGTAATAGGAGGCATATATTACCTATACACTCACTTTCTGAGAATAAATGAAATTTTCGTTTGTTGTAATTCTTTTCAAATACATTGAAAGTAACCATTCTGTTTTGTTCTTATTGAAGTTTAAAAGATGATAGTAGGGCCTTTTAGTCTTAGTGGCAGCACTCAGTCTTCCAGAAGGTTCACATTACTCTTGTGCTCAAGTATTCTGCATATTACAGAACCCATCTGAACGTTCATAATTCAGAAAAGCTTTCAGTTGTGTTTTCAAAACCAGCTTGTTCTATAGGCTTCCTTTAGACATTGAGGTGCTTAAAAAACATTTCTGATAAAAATTTTATTCTGGTGATTCAAAAGAGAAGCATGGTATTTAATGTTTCTATTAACAAAATTATTTTCAAATTTGTAAAGAATGATCTTTTAATTAGAGTTCTTTAGGCAGTTTTTCTTTTTGTTGTTATTGTCAGAGTTTTAAAACTTGCTTTGGAAATTTTCTAACACATATTTATATACCTTTCCTTCAAAGATTGAAGAATGAAAAGGCCTTGCGTCTCAACCTTATTGGTAAGTGGGTTTACTTATTTGAAACTCTGGCTAGAGTATAGGGCATTTCTGCCCTATACTTATTTTTGTTTTTACTCTTTTAGTGAAATACTGTTTTTATCAGAGTGAATTTGATCAGACTTGATCTAAACAAAGCAAATCAGTCATTAAACTTTTGGAATAAACAGTGTTAATGATTTCTAGCTCAGTTTTCCAGAAACTGTTAGTTTATATTTATCTACCTACCTATCTGTCTACACATACATTCATATCCATCTGTCCATCTATCTGAAGTTTAACTCTACCTCCCTAACCATTAGAATTATGAAGGATTATGGCCTAGGTAGAAACAACAATTCCTGTTCATTTAATGATGTAGACATACACATCTTCAGTTTGTATCTCAGTGTCATGTCACTGTTTTTTTGGTCAGATTTATTGCTAATCATTTTTTACTCACAAGTCTGAGATTTAAATACTGACTATTAGGCTTTTTGTATTAAAATGAAAGGTATTTGAACCCCCATCAGTGCTTCATCAGGTAACAGAATAGTATTTTTAAATGGGATCTCAGTATACTGGGCAAAGTGATTTTTTTTGATCTGTAATCTTGAGAAATCTCACTGAAAGTGACCCTGATGGTCAGGTTTACTCATAAGGATGAATTTTGTTGGCTCTTTGGTAATATATATCAATTACTCTACACAATACCTGGTAGCTCTTGTGTGCTTAATGTAGGTGCTAGCTTTGGGGCCCTGGACAGGTCATTTAACATCTCTCATCCACAAATGGGGGTAATAATAGTACTAATTCTCATGGGATTATAAAACTGTTTACATAGTGCCTACAGCTTATTAAATACTCAGGAAATATCATTCTCATCATTAATGGAGTTCTCATTATTTATGACAAGCTATCCTTTGCTTTTAAATACTTAGAAGTTCAGGCTTGAGTAAATAATTACTTTCCTTTTTTGCATCTATATTGGATAACAAATCTATACAGAAGAGCATCCATCTCACTCCTCTCTCTTCTCTAAATTAAAATCTGACAGTTTAATTTGTGACAGATTGGTTTAATTAGCTTTGAGCCCAAACAAGGCTTTATGTTTAACATTGACATAAATTTTGGTTCTGTTTTAAACACATTAATATTGAGAATGATAATGAATATTTACTTGCTTAAATGATGACTTGTGGGGTAAACTGTCTTGGTACTTATTGTTTATAGGTGAAAAACTGCAATGGTTTCAAAACCATCTTGATCCCCAAAAGAACAGATATTCAAAGAAAGATGCTTGTCAACTAATTGAAAGGTAAACACTGGGCATATTATGAGCAAAGGGTCAGAAAAGGCAGTTCTCCAGCCTGTTTCTTTAAGACACAGAGCTCTGTTATGGATTTTCAGGAAAGCAAATGGGCTTTGTAATCAGGAAGACTTTGGATTCATTTCCTGTCTTAGTCACTATAGGAGGTTCGTAACCTATTTGGGTCTCAGAGTGGTAGTTAGGCCACTTTCTTGGGATCAGGATGGGCTTCCTGAAGAAGTGTCATCTAAACTGGCAACTGAAAGGTGGGGGTTAGCAGATCGAGGCAAGGTAGTTTGAAGAACCCCTAGCCAGAAAGAAGAGTAAAATGCCCAGAAGTGAGAATAAAGAACATATTTAGTGATCTGCCAGACATTTAATATGACTAAAATAAATTCAAGGAGGGAAGTGTGGCAGGTACAATAAGTGATAACTAGCTCATGAAAGACCTCAGATGTCAGTCTAAAAGTTGGGACCTTATCCAAGGACATTAGGAACCATAGGAGGCTTTTACAGCAAGCAGCTGAAATGATCCTACTTAACATTAGAAAGGGCACTTTGAGAATGAAGAAAACAGACTGAGAGGTTCATGACTCTGGCCAGGAAACCGTTGAAAGGTTGATGTAACAATCTAGGCAAGAAATGATGGTGGCCTTGGCTTGGCTCATAGCATGATAAAGAGAAGTAAAAGATTCCAAAGATATTAAGAAGGTAGAAGTGTCAGTGTTTAGTGAAAACTTAGGATGTGTAATAAAAGGGATAGAGAGCAGTCAAGGAAGTAATCACATTTCTTGTCTGGAGAACTATTTCCTTGGATAGGGAACCCAGGAGATGAAGGGGGTTTAGTGGGGGGTAGGTGGGGACAGGGTGATGGCAAGTTCAGTTTTGATGTGCTAACGGTGAAGCCACTAGGGGACATCCAGATGGAGATGGTGGTTGAATGTGAGGGTCTGCAGTTTGATAGAAGGCTGCGATTTGGTCACTGAAGTTAAAGAAATGGTCGTGTTATCCAGGGAATGGGTAAAAGAGGTTTGAGGACCTGAGGAACTTAGAGAAACATAAACATTTAAAGGCCACACGAAGGCTGGTTACTTAGTTTTCCGTTAAGTCATATAAGCCCAATACATAAACTTTGTATGTAACACAAATCATTTTCTTATTTTTCAGGTACTTGAATCGATTCAGCAGTGAGCTGGAGCAGATTGAGTTACATAACAGTATCAGGGACAGGCAGGGGAGGCGGCACTGTTCCCGGGAGACCGTCATCAAGCAGACCATGGAGCGGGAGCGACAGCAGTATGAAGGATATGGCCTTGGTGTGCTCACTGATTTTTTAGTTTGCTTTTACATGCCATAGCAGTATCAATTTGTGATTGATTTCAAAGGTTTATTTTAGCTCTTGTTTATTTCATTTGATTTCTTTCTTTGATGTCTTTTTCTTTGTGAGGGTTTAGAAAAAATTTGGATTCTTTTTTTTTTCCTCTACATTCCCAACAAAACTACCAAGTTTGTGACAGTGACATCATGTCTTTTTACTGTGATAGTAATACTGATTACTTTCACATTTATCTTATCAACCCTAACTTGTCTCCAGAACTCCAGATTTGCAGTATCACATATGGATTTCTCAAGCTCTCTACTTGCATATCTTTTGGGCATCTCAGACTTGACATGTCATGAAACAAAGGCCAGCTTTTCTCCTAAAACTTGCAGGTTTCTTATTCCTGTCAGTGGCATCACCACCTGCCCAGTTACTCAGATCAGAAACACTTTCATAGTCCACATCCAGCCCTTCAGCAAAGTGTTTAGAATCTGATGACTTTGATGACTACTACTACCACCTCCCACTTCCTTGGTTCAGGCCATTATCATCTCACCTGCACCATGGTAATAGCCTCCCAGTTGCTCTCCGTGCCTCCACTCTTCCCCGCTAAAGTCTGTTCAACATGTAGCAGCCAGATGAGTTGGCAGTATTTATCAGAGCACATCCAAAGTAAACCATTTGTTGGTGATACAGCTAGAACTGAAACTCAGATCTGCTATGCTGCAGTGCTTTTCCCAGAATCAGGGGATGGGTCTGGTGAACAGACTCTGATGAGTTTGCAGGTGTCAATTTCCCTGTAGGGAAATTGTCACCAAATTCTGTTTTGATAAGATTTTGAGAAGACTAGATATAACCATCCCCTCTCCCCTCCTCATGTGATGTAACTATTTCTGATTCATTAAGGTTCCTTTAAAAACTTTTTTTGTGCTTATTTATACCTTTTAACACCTAGCCTCTCATACTGTTATTCTCTGAAACTATTGTAAAAGTCAATATACAGTTGTAGCAAACATGCTTATTTTATCTTCTTTATTACTTGATACTGCATTTCATTTAACATTGTATTGAATTGGCCAGATATTTGCGGCAGCCTTCCAATTTTTGTTGTTCATGCCTCTTGTATTTCACCAATTTAAGTGTGATCATGCATATTGGGTTATGATGAACTTTTGAAATATGGTAAGGAACTACCATATACCTGGTTTTTATTAAAAATGGGTTTAATGGCTCACACCTGTAATCCCAGCACTTTGGGAGGCCGAGGCGGGCGGATCACAAGGTCAGGAGATCGAGACCACGGTGAAACTCCGTCTCTACTAAAAATACAAAAAATTAGCTGGGCGTGGTGACGGGCACCTGTAGTCCCAGCTACTCAGGAGGCTGAGGCAGGAGAATAGCGTGAACTTGGGAGGCGGAGCTTGCAGTGAGCCGAGATCACGCCACTGCACTCCAGCCTAGGTGACAGAGCGAGACTCCGTCTCAAAAAAAAAAAAAAAAAATGGGTTTAAGTTTTATTGAACTTCTTTAAGCAAAATTTCTTTTTTTAATTTAAAACAGTATTTTTTTCACATTTGGAAAAGTGTGATTTTTTAAACATTAATTCTTGCATTCTACCTTGTGAAGGTAGATTATATGTTTGAAAACATGGTACTTTTCACCAAGAAAAAATATACAACCTGTCATATTATTTTAGTGAATTGATAGTTATACTTTGCCAGGTACCTTTTATTGTTAAAAAAGGACAGGGTTTATTTTGTTAATAGCTTTGTTTTATTTCATGGATTTTATGCTAGAATTTATCATTTAATAGGATTTTTCTTAAGTCATCTTCAACTAACCCCTTTTGCAAATTTTTCATGTTAATTGCAGCAATACTTTGAAATTTTGTTTTCTTTTGGATATTCTTGCTAAAAATTATTATTTGTTGTATATAAAATTATGTGATTTAGAAAACATTGCCTCATGGAGATAAATTATCTTTTCCAGAGATTCCTGACATCCTAAATGCAAGTAATCTGAAAACGTTCAGGTGAGTCTGTCTTGTATTGTTCCCTTGAAGCTGTGTGTAAAGTACTTGACAGTTGAACTTTCTTCCTAGGAGTCTAGACGGTAAAACTAAAAGAAAATCAGGAGTTTCTTTTAACCTTTTCTTTTTTATCAGACCAAGTAAGAATTTTCTGAAGTTGGGCTTACAAACGGTTGATCTGCACCGACCAGATAGTGACCTGGTGTGCTTTTTGTTTTACGAAATGGTTTAAGATACATTGTTATAGTACCTCAAAGTATGTGATCTCACTATTCCTCCCCAGTTCTTATTTTCTTAGAAAAAGAAATAGCAGCAACAGATGTGATGGCTCAGAGTCACATCCCAAGGCTGTTCTGTAGCAGCCTCTTTTGCAGAGAAGATGGTTATAGGAATGACTCCAGGGAACTGGTTAAGTCATCAAGACCCGCTTTGTCCAGTGGTTTCTAGTTGTACTCTTTTGTAAACTGGGAAACTACTGAGTAGGATTTCAGTTTTGTAGGTTTTTTTTTTTTTCTTTTTTCAACTTTGATTTTAAATTCAGAGGTACATGTGCAGGTTTGTTACAAAGGCATATTGTATAATGTTGAGGATTGGAGTAAGAATGAATCCATTACCCAAGTAGTGAGCATAGCACCCAGTACATGGTGTTTTTACCTCTTACCCCTTTCGCTCCCTTCATTTGTATTCCCCAGTGTCTATTGTTCCCTTGTTTATGATCTTGTGTACCCAATATTTAGCTCCTACTTATAAGTGAGAACATGTAGTATTTGGTTTTGTGTTTCTGTGTTAGTTCACTTAGGATAATCTGTAAAAATCCTAGAAGAAAACCTAGTAAATACCCTTCTTGATAGCACCCTGAACAAAGAATTTATGGCTAAGTCCTCAAGCAATCGCAATAAAAACAAAGATTGACAAATGGGACCTAATTTCTGCATAGCAGGAGAAACTGTCAAGGGAATAAACAACCTATAGAATGGGAGAAAATATTCTCAAATTGTTTGCATTCAACAAAGTTCTAATATCTGAAATCTATAAGAAGCAAATGAATCAACAAGGAGTTTTTTAGTTTGTAAACATAGATTCTGTTTTATTAATCATTTTGGTCTTAACTAGACCATGTCAAAGGGTCTTATATTTAATGTTAATTGAAATTAGGTAAATTTAAATCCAGTCATTGTCTATACTTTTGAATTCGTTGAAACTAAATTAGCTTTAATAGAATTCATCTATCATGTTTAAGGTGCAGTTCACTTTTGAGCCTATGTATAGCATGTATTTACAATTTAAGTATATGGAGTTTAAGATTCTTTTTATACCTTAATTTTATTTTGAGTGTAATCTTAAATATATAAATATGCTCTTTATTTCTAAAACAACATATCTTCTACCTCCTCCAAAGACAGAAACAAGAAAAGAGATGAGTATAGCCTTCTGGTTAGAGTTCAGTTCCCAAAACAATATTCACATTACTTCTAAAGTAATTAATAAAATACTGAGGTTGAAAAACTGAAAATTCTCCATTATAAGAATAACAGTTGATTACTGAAACTTAACTGGGATGTACTTCTGTGTGTGAAAAGGAAAACCTCTTCTGACTGTATTTTGGAGATTTGTCAGGTATGATACAGTTCCTACTTTTGATTGCAATTCTTGATCTGGGTAGCCTGAGAGAAGGAGATACTCAGGTTAGAGAGGATGAAAGAATAGAAGAGCTTTCTGGTAATTTGCGCCTAATATTTTCCTTTAATGCTTTTGAAGTTTTGAATATGTAGGATCCTCAGAGTTTCAAAAATTTATTATCTCCTGTTTTTCCACATTAACTCTTACCAACACTCTGTACCCCCCCCCTTTTTTTTTTTTCACTTTTTGTCTAGGGAATGGGACTTTGATCTGAAGAAATTACCGAACATTAAAATGAGAAAAATTGGCGCTAATGATGCAATTCCCAAGAAGTGCAAGAGGAAAACTATTATAACTGTAGACCAAGATTTAGGGGAATTGGAACTAAACGATGAATCAAGTGATTCAGATGAGGAAATGACTGCAGTAGCCTAATTGTCTTCACTTGAATTGAAAATAAATAATTTGAGAGCTTCAAATTATATTCATTGATTATGGTACCTAATTGTCAAGATACAAGATTTTGATACTGACATTCTCTTATATAATGAGAGTTTCATTTGCAGTTTCAAAAATGGTGTTACGATATTTATTTTAAAATGAAGACTGCTTTTCATTTACATTAAGTTGTTAAAATAGATAGATGTGATCTGCAGAAGTTGTTTAATCTTTTTCATCTGAATTTCGGGCCGGGAGGGAGCAATATAACTAAGGACAAAAAATGTTTTGTTTTTCTTGTGTATTTATGACCACCTACTTTTATGTTTTGTGAAATGGACAGTAACCTGTTTCCTAAAAGATTCCTGTGGGTACTTTTTGAGTTGTGATAATAGCAAAATTGCCTTTCAGTAATAATATCACACTAATGCTTCTTTTAAACATTAAACCTATTTTCCTTTTTTACAAAATAAGGGAAAATGTGATAAGAAGTTTGTATACACTGCCGGATTATAGATTATTATTTATCTTTTGAACCAGAGTTAAATGGTAAAAGAAAAAAAAATCAGTGATGATTGTTGTGTTGATCTCCCACAATTAATTTATCTTTTGACAAAGGGGATAAAGAGTTTCAGTTTACCTCCTTTTAATTGTATATTATTTTTTGCTTTTTTATTGTGAAAAGTGATAGGTTTTATTTGTGGAGAGAGAATTAAAGATTAGAGAACCAGTGATTTTAATTATGCTACTTTTTCTTAGAGATAAGTTGACATATAATTCAGTATTTTCAGTGTCATGAAAAACATGAATGTTGTACAATTTGCTTCCTCAAAAAACTTGTTAAATGCAAGTATCCTTGGTATGTTTTTAAAAGAGCACAATGCAGGTGTATTTGAGTATTTTCAAGAGAAGAATAAAAACATTAATGCTGTATTAGGTTAACCAGATATCAACTAAGCCTTGTTAACAGTTAAAGTATTATAACTACTTTTTTTACTTCTGAAAATTAAAAATAAAATTTATTTCTGCAATTTCACTTCTTACAGTCCTAATTATTTTTTTAGTGATGTAACTTATGTTGATTAGTTAGTAATCTGTGTAAAAGTATGTTTTTAGGATTACATGAGTAGTTAATGTCTCTTTAATCATTGAAAAGTTTCCTCCTCTCTTGCTTTTGGCTCATAGTCTTAAAATGGTTGTAAAAACTGAGTCATAAGTTGCATTAAAGAGAATAAGAACTGCTTTATCTGGACTGACACTTAAAAGTCCCTACTGTTAGATGAATAACTTGTGAAAAATGACAGATTGTCCTCCTCCTTAAACATTTGTTTCTAGTTTCCCCTGTGTTGTCAAAGCAAAGATTACAATTAACAAGCTACACTGCTGGGAAACTAGGATAGGTAAGTATTCGTTGAATGAATGCATTTACCATTTAGGACCATAATAATCATGTCACTCCTAGTTGGATCAAAGCAGCCTCAGAGATAACTTATCTTTAGAGTGATGCTTAAGATGTCCTTACTCCTTGCCTGTTGAACATGTTCTTTCTGGGGTGATAACTTATGCTCCTTTCATCTAGACCACTTTTAAGTCAGTGGCATCTTTCTGTAAGACAACGTCTACAGTTCATGGCCATGGAACAAAGTAAAGGTAACTTATTTTTGTAAACTAGGGACTGGCAAACTTTTTCTTTATAAAAGACCAGAAAGTAAATATTTAATATATTAGGCATTATAGGCCAAATGTAGTTTCTGTTGCATATTCGTGTGCATATGCGTGTTGTTTGCTGCCTTTTAAAAATATAAAAACCGGCTGGGTGCGGTGGCTCATGCTTGTAATCCCAGCACTTTGGGAGGCTGAGGTAGGTGGATCACTTGAGGTCAGGAATTTGAGACCAGCCTGGCCAACATGGTGAAACCCCATCTCTACTAAAACTATAAAAATTTGCCGGGTGTGGTAGCACACTGTTATCCCAGCTACTGGGGAGGCTGAGGTGGGAGAATTGCTTGAACCCGGGAGTCAGAGGCTGCAGTGAGCTGAGATTGTGCCACTGCACTCCAACCTGGGTGACAGAGTGAGACCCTGTCTCAAAAAATAAATAAGTAAATAAGTAAAATAATAATAATATAAAAACCATTCTTAGTTAATGGCCATACAAAATAGGCCGGGGGATTGACTTGCTTGTCATAATTAGCTGACCCCTTGTCTAAACCAATGAACTGAACTTCCATGGACATAAGTTAGTGATACATTTCCAAGTTCAGAGCAGCTGACTCACATCTGTGGTCTTTTTCCCTAATATCCTAGTTGCTTCCTTGCCATGATTACTGACAGAGGTGTCCCTTTAGGACCTTGCTTACCTCAAATAGAAGCTTTTTCTATTCTTATTTTCCGTGTGCTTCAGGGGCAGGATATTGGGTAGGTGTCCTTTTTGCTCTACTGCCACTTCAGAATAATTTCTCCCTTAAGTTTTTGAAGTTCTATTCTTGCCTCCTTTCCTTACTATCTTACCTCCCAGAAGAACCTTCTGCCCATTCATAGAATGCTTTAGCTCGTGACCTAGTTTTCTTCTCCCCTGTAGCAATCATTTTAGTGATTCGTTGTGGATAACAAATAGTGGCTGGCAAATATAACAACACTGTGAGTTTTAAGTTTTCCGGTCTTTTTCTCCATCCCATCAGAGGCCTCTCAATGGTCACACCTGGATCCTTATCAGCACCTCCACTCTGTAGACCTGATTTTGAGTATTCCACTCTTCATTCACTGTCACCACCCCTCTTCATTGCTGAAGTTCTGCACTTTGACCTCACTCTCATGCATCATCTATCTTGCTGAGCTCAGTTTCAAGTTCATAGTTGCTTCCCTGCATATACCCTCAATTCCTTTGCCCCTGACTCTGTAACAGAGTTATTTCTCTTTCAGAACCCAAACCAAGTAATAGCTATGTTTCCTTCATGCCTGTTCTCAAGCAGCTCAACATCGCTGAAGAATATCAAACAGACCATTTTCATACTGATGTTTGCAAATCTCAAGTGAATTCTCAGTACTGCTTAGTGATCTTATTATGTTCCCCAACTAAGTTCATTTTCTAACTTTGAGATAATTATTTTACTACTTTCTTTAATTTTTTTTCTAGCTTGACTTGAATACTAGCCTTCTCAATGTTCAACCTTTTTATACATCTTTGAGAAAATACGAATTACCACTTTCTTTTGATTTAATGGATATATCTTTTTTTTCCTTTCACAGGCAAATACTCCTACTTATGTTCTGTTTCCCACTCCTTATTTTCTCAGAAACCTGTTTTTTCTAAGTTTTTTCACACAATTTCTCAAGCCAGAAATCTGCCTGTAAAATCATCCTTGATGCCTTCCCGCAATATAATTTAATTAGCGAGTATTTGTGATTCCACTTCCAAAATGAAAATCAAATTGGCCCTTGTCAGGCAGTCTCTACTTTTCATCCTTACCAAAGTCACCATGTCTTGCCTGTCCTATGTGCAGTAGCTTCTTAACTGGCCTTCTTGCCACTGTTCTTGCTCCTGTCGCCAGCACCCGGATGGCCTTGTGTATGTTCACTTGATCCAAGCTGGGCAGGGTTTTGCCGCGGATGACCTGACTGAGCCTTGGAAGACTGTCCTGTATCTTCCCAGAACACGGAGATATGGAGGATATCATTTGCCTCCCGATCTGGGAAGAAGATAGTGAGACAATTTGTCATCACCTGAGTTCTGATGACCTCTGAGACTCCACCTCGAGACACTGTAGCATAGAGCTGCAGCCTATAAAACTTAATGACTCAAGATTGGTGCAAAAGTAATTGCCGTTTTTGTCTTTTTTTTTTTTTTTAAGTAATTTTAATGGCAAAACTGCAATTACTTTTGCACCAGTCTAATATAATACTTAGCTGCAACATGGACTCAGCATCTCAGCAACAGAGTGCCCTTCCCCTTATGTACCATTATCAGGTCATCTGGCCCCTTTTCTGTTTGTGTCTTTCTGTAGGACAAGACATATGGGAAGGCCACACCTTTGCATTTTACTGCCTCTGTAAGTACAGTTGACCCTTCCTAGCTAAGGGTTCCTCATCCTTGGATCCAACCAACCACAGATGAAAAATAGTCTGAAAAAAAAAGTATGTACTGAACATGCAGACTTGTTTCATGTCGTTGTTCTTTAAACAATACATTGTAACAACTATTTCCATGGTATTAGGTATTATAAGTAATCCGGAAATGATTTTAAGTATACAAGAGGATATACATAGGTTATATGCAAATACTACACCATTTTTAT